AATCAATATCGTATAAGAGACAAGTAGGACTCTGATGCTAAAAAATAAAAGTATCAAGCAGACACCAGCGATATTTATTCTTACGAGGACTTATAAAATGGTTTGAGTATACACACCGTCATTCATCAATTTAGGACATCTTTGTAAACTATATTCTTGGTGCTCTTCCCTGTAGGATCTAATTCCTCTTTTGGTTTTGCTAGAATTCTTGTTGTTGATCTTGACACCCCCCTTGATAAACCAACATAAAGTTGTCCATGCGAGAACACGGGCTCTGGAAGGTAGATCCCAACGTTTGGGATGGTTTGTCCCTGCGATTTATTTATTGTCATGGCAAAACTTAACCTCACTGGGAATTGTTTTCTCTTGAACTTGAAAGGAAGAGAAATATCATCTGAGGGAGACAATGGTAGCCTTGGTATGAAAACTCTTTTCCGCACATGCTGACCACCAACGATCTCAGCATCAATTGCATTGTCTTGCAATGCTCTGACCATAAGCCTGGTTCCATTGCACAACCCATTGTTAGGATCAAGATTGCGGAGAAGAATCACAGGACAGTTGATTTTTAGATTCAGCTCATGCGGGGGGAGGCCATTTAGAGTTATTGAGTTCAAAAAATCAATAGGGAAGTGATTCGAAGGATCATCAACAACAGTGTCAAAGCTATGGTAAACTTTTTCCTCACCTGGAAACCTTTCAATCATCATTGCGTTCAGCCTATCAACATGCTCATTTTTTGTCGATAGAATGGCCCGTCCGCTCATATAGGCGACTGATGTCGCATGCTCTCCAAGTGATGGGAACACCGAGGAAATGAGTGTATTGACTGCCACATCCGTGTCAGTATATCCAATCACAATGTCATCAGGAAGTCGAACATAATCATCTCCAATCGTTTCCTCGGTTCCGTTTCCAATACGTAGCAGGTACTCAGAAAACCAAGGGTCTGACTGTGCTCTCATGTTTTGTGACAATCGTATCTTTCTTATTTTATCCCACAAATAGGATCTTTGTAAGGTAGCATCAGTTATCTGTGCTCTTGTCCCACGTGGCACCACAGGAAGGACCTGTCTGAAGTCTCCACCAAATACCATGACCTTTCCTCCAAATGGCAAAGCACATTCCATGATATCCTGTAGGGACCTATCTAGTGTCTCAACGCACTGACGTTTGGTCATGGCAACTTCATCCCAAATAATCAAAGACGCCCTACAAAGCAACTCTGCAGTGCCACTTTACTTTGTAAAGCTGCACATGGTGTTCCCCAATTTTAATTGGAATTTTAAACCTGGAGTGTGCAGTGCGTCCTCCGGGCAATATTGATGCTGCTATACCAGAGGTGGCTGTTGCGATGGCTATTAATCCTTTGGAACGAACTTTAGCCAGAAGCGCCTTGTATAGGAATGTCTTTTCTGTGCCTCCCGGACCATCAACAAAAAAAAACTTGGCTCTTTTTGGCAAAGACATGTTGAATGATTTCATCAAACCCTTCTCTCTGCTCCTTGTTAAGAGAATCAAAAATATCTAGGTGTTCTTGGTCAACAGGGACATTCTGCTCCTCTCTAACCTCTTTCATCATGTCAATGGAGGTTGGACCCATATCGCAAATAGGTGGCAGACCATATTCTCTGATATCTTTGCCCATCGAGTGAAGCATATCCCGTATGTCCCTGAGCACCATTTGCTCCACTGCCGACGTGTTGCTATTGTCCCGGCTAAAGTCTTCGCCTAACGCATCCTTATGCTTGTCCCATAGTTCACATATGTTAGTGGCCTCGCCGAACACAAGCATTGTAGCAAACAACCTCCGCATGGCACACGGCATCTGGAAAGTGGTGGATGAAATCCTTATGGTCTCGGATATTACTAACCTACCAGCGAGGACGATGGCACTATTTGGTTGATAGCAGCTGGTGTGCTGTTATTTTGCAATTGAGCCTTCTGCCGTGCTCGATATTGACATTGGTACTCACGTTTGTTAGTTGATCTCCACCAATAGGCCCAACGGCCTATTGGACCCTTGTCTCTGCTCCCTGATCGGGGGAGCCCAACCCTAATACGGTTGGTGGGCCCCTGTCGCACAGCACACATAAAAGGAAGGTGGGGATCAAGGCTCGGATGACGCGGTTCACTGGAGCCGCCATCCCGCCAACAGAAAACCCTAATCCGATCAAAGGTCGTGCTGCCAGCGACGGGATGTGCCCCGCCACCGCCGTCGTTCCCCTATAGGTCTACACTGGACCGCCGTCTCGCCACCGAGCCGGAGCTGCCCCTACACCGGCGTCTACGCTGCTGCTGTGCCGCAACAGTGAAAGGCGAGAAGGGTCTTCCCCGGATCTACGAGTTTCACACAGAGAGGTACACACATTCGATCCTAACAACGTTGTCTCCTTTTTTCTCTTCTCTCTGCTCATCGGTCATCTCTGCTCTTCTCTTTCGTTGTTGCGCGTTCCTTTCGCCCATCGTATGGTTACTAATATCTGCAGGGTCATGTTTGTAAGATTACAAAAATTAAATAATGAGACTCTTTCACATAATAAACACGTATCCAATCTTTACCGCTAGCCACTGATAGAGCAGTGCCTATTGCCATTGAGGTGCCAATGCCACCATGGCTATGATTCCCATGTGCGGTTGGTTGGATATTTTCCTTGTCCAGTATAATTGGCGAGTTTTGGTCTATCTTAGAACGATTAGTACCTGCATTTTTTTTGCCCATCTCATAACGTTGGTTTGAGTATATTAAGAGCCTGAGTAATAATAAACTAAGCAAAGAAAAATTATACCGGGTGCAGTCAAAACACAAGAAGGGCTATTGTTTTGGGACTCGGCCTTCTTCCGTTCTCGGTAGTGACGTTGGTACTCACGTTGTTTCCTCCTCATCTCCTCCCTTTGTTCATCGGTCATTTCAGCTCGCCGAATTCGTTGCTGCAAGTTCCTTTGTTCCCTAGTCCGCCGGGCCTCATCTATATGGTCACAGCATAGGAAATCAATTAGCCAACCCAAAGTTATATATTACTCCATCGGTCTCTGTAAAAATCAATTTATAGAGTTATTGTAAGTCAAACTTTTTAAACTCTGATCGAATGTCTAGAAAAGAGCATTAAGATTTATGGTACCAAATTAATACCAAATTAATACAATGTAAAATCATACCTGTGATGTTGGTGATGTCGCTTAGTGGATCGTGTGTATCTCTCGACGTAGACATTTAGTTAATGTATCACAAGCAGTCTGTGATGACGCAGGACCTTTGATTTTTATTTATAGTACCTATTACAAATGGATAGTCAATGTCAAGACACAAAATCTCGTAAAACCGTAAATCAATTGTTCTCAAATTATTTGTGACCAATCCATCAACAAATGTGATAGGCGACAACAAGATTTCTAATAGTATCGCAAGGAAGCCAGTAAACTTTAGCAGCACAGTGCCATGCACCAGTCCATGCACGCACACACGCATGTTCACAGGCTACCAATCGCGCACACACGCACACTCACCGGCGACGGAGAGACGGTCCATGGCGTGATGAGCTGCTCCTCGGTCTTCTTTGTCCTCGCCAGATGTAGGTGTCTTCGACGGTCGCCGGGCTGTGGCGCGTCGTTAAATCGTCAGGCACCGTGACCTTGTCGATCGGAGAAGTGCCCTCGCTGAACGGATCGCAGCAGCTCTTGCCGACGCCTCGATCTGAATGCCGTGCTCGCAGTCTCGGCTCTCGCGCATGGCGTTCACCGGCCTCTGGTTACGTCGTCGCCGCCACAGACGCTGCCGTCGCCGCCACCGCCGCTTATGGGTCTCGACGGAGCTGTGCCATCCGATCGCCGCCGTTTGCAGGATGCCGGTGCCACGTGACGACGCGTCTGCGCCCTAACGACGCGTCCGTGGCTCGGGCGATAGTCGCAGCAGTCCGTTGGCGGCGGCGGCCAAGTGAGTCAGCAGGAGGCGGCGACCATCAACAGGTCGGCGATGGTGGCGAGAGTCGTCCGGAGTCTAGCGTCAACAGGAGGATGCTGCGGTGCGGAGGTTGTCATGCCTTTTTTCCCGGACTTTCCTTTTTGATGGTTGAATGATAGGTGATTGGATCCTAATTGCCGAGAGCTACGAGGATGCGGGCGGGGAGAGTGCGGAGGTGAGGAGGTGTGAGAAGCCTCCATCAAACATCATTTCTGGGCCTTTGGATTTGACGTAGATCTATTATGAACCCTTTGATTTTGATAGAGACAAGTTTTCAATTAGAGTGGAGACGTAACAATCACAAATCAAGTGCAGTAGCTGCCTGACTAAAGAAGCTGGCGTTGCTACTTGCGGCTAGCTTGCCCATCCATCATCTGTCCTGCACTGCACTCCTCTAGCTACATAGGATAGGAGGCCATGGCCATAGGCATTCAGATTCGGTCGCTCTGGCCCTACGCCAGGAGAAAAACGAGCCAGCCCTTTGCATTGATCAGTCACACCAAGCCGGGGACAAGGACGAACATTATTACTGTTGACAATTAGCGAGCAAATACTACGCGTGTAACTATTTTTTTTACAGATCCACTGTAACTTTCTAAGAACAAATATATGGTTAAAGATCCATTGCATTATTTACATATTTTATTTGTATATGTAGTCAACTGGTATACAAATGCTAGTTGCTTGTAAGCAACACATGCATTTCATTTCCTTGTTGACATATGTACAGTCTATAAAAGTAATGACAATACCACTAAGATCAGATTATTTCACAGATAAACACATTGCCAGCGCAACCAGCTGCAGAATTTATGCATAAACTGCCAACTGCAGGACCCAACGATCGAATAATAGCATATACCACCTCGAAAATGTCAAATTAATAGTAAAATAAAACCACAAGAAATCCCAGACGCCACTTACCAAATATATCTATCTTCCCGGCCCGTCAGCAGCTGGGTAGGACACACACAGCGTGGCACCAGGCGCCGGACGACGACTCCTGTTCGTCTTTCACACCAAAGGCGCGCGCGCGAGCATGGCAGAGTCCGGTGGCGGCGGCGTCGAGGACGCCGGCGGCAGCCTGACGCCGAGCCACACCAACGGTGGTGATGGCGGCGCCGGCAGCACGTGGGAGATAGAGGAGCTGGAGCCGGACGAGCGACCGCCGCGGAGCGTCGCCGCCTCCACCGCGTCCTCCGGTGCCGACAACGACGTGTACGTGGCGGTCGGCAAGGGCGGCTCCAGCATGGCGGCGCTGTCCTGGGCGCTCCGCCAGCTCACCAAGCCGCGGAGCTTCGTCTACCTCGTGCACGTCTTCCCCGTCGTCACCAGCATCCCCACCCCATGTGAGCCATCTAGTACTTGCTCTCTCTCCTCTTCTATCTGCTTCTCATGGCCTTCGCCATATGTTACATCATCTTCGTTTCTAGTAGTATAACATGTAGTACATATTAGCTAGCTAGGACTCCTATGCAATTATGATCTTTGATCCATGATTATAACATTCAGATTCAGATTGCCTGTGATTAGTAGTGTTCCTTTTGGAACAGGACTATTTTCCCCCCTGACTCGCGTAGGATAGGGATCGATCAAACTGCTTCCTCCGAAATTCTTGGATTACAGGTTTGCAGCCAGGCTTTGTGGCCTCAAAAACATCGATCATTCCATGCCACAATATATTTCACTCTTACTCATCAAACCCAACTCGAACAAAATGTGTTTGCTCACTAGCTAATGGAAAAGTAAGAGTGAAATGAAAGCCTAATACCGCAACAACTAGCGCCCTGTTCGCTTGGCTTATAAACCGTACTTTTTCAGCCAACGAATAGTATTTTTCTCTTACAACAAATCAGCCAACAGTACTTTCAGTCATGGCTTATCGGCCAAGCGAACAGGGCATAGTAAGACGACAGCGCTGCAATTTGCATACAAAGTCTTGCTTAGGGTCGCCGATCAATCAATAAAGATCGATGATGCTCGTGATGGAAGACGACGGTCAAGTTCTTGCACTGGTGTTTTCGGGATTTTGCTCGCCTGACTGAAACTTTCAAAGGTGTCGTCCTCACGGGCCGGAGTTCCCTTTGGAGCCTTGTAACCTCTTGTGCCAAGAATACAATGGGTTTGGCCCCGACGCAAAGCTGCAGGAGCAAAGTTCCAAACGGTTGATGCTGACCTCGTAGGGGATGGGAGTCGGAGACACCACCAAGGCCACCCATTATGCCTTATTAGGTGCCTCCTAATTGTAATTTTTTTTCTGTTTTCTTTGGCAAACAAATAATGGGATTGGGATCTGTTTGCTCAGCATGGTTCCTCTAAAATTATTGGGTTCTAATCAAACTATTTCCAGTGAAATTCTTGGGTTATAATCAGAGGCTAGCTTGTGGTTCAATCAGGAACAAAACCTGAGTTTCGCTTTAGTGAAGCACTCAGAATCCGTTCTAAAAGATCATATATGCATGCATCCATTATTTGAGATCCTGGCAGCGAATGCTAACGAGATTCGTGGACCACACAGGAATACTGGATTGGATGCCAAAAAACAAAGTAGCTTTGTGACGAGATGCCCCGTAGAGTAGGGCGCATAGTATGCGATGTGATGCTACAGAGCTAGACTGCTTGCCACTGAAGTGTGAACAGGATCAGCACGGTAGGATTCTGTTCTGCCACCTTTCAGTCTTGACAAAATGGCACAAAGATGAAAATAGACTTTCAGCTGGTTCAGTAACTAATACATACAAAAGGAAAAGAACAAAACAAAAGATAGATATCCTAGTTTCTGTACGTGTTAGGTGTTACTGCCCATTTCTGCATCTGGTGATGGTTTAAGCAATATTCAGTTCAAAGGGTAATATGTGACGAAGTCAATTTCTGAAATAGTAGGAATGATGCCTAAGAGCCAAGCAAGTCCAGAGCAGATCGAAACTTACTTGAATCAAGAGAGATCAAAGAGGCGACAGATGCTGCAGAAATTCTTGGACCAGTGCCGCAAATTTCAGGTAAGCTGCTGGACCAGTTCGTTACCAATTCTGACATCTCAACAAGTTTTCAGTTTTGATATCACTCCTTTCATATTCAGGTTACCGTTGATGTGTACCTCATTGAGAGCGATCAAATTGCTAACGCAATCATCGAACTTGTTCCTGTTCTGCACATTAAACAGCTAGTATTAGGGGTTTCAAAGTCAAATGTGCGGTAATGTCTACCAGGCCTTCAATTAACAGAAACACAAAATTGTGTGCATGCCACTTCTGCAAATGTATGTTGAATCTGTCAAAATGAACACAGGAAGCTGAAGAGAGGAACCACAATAGCAGGACAGGTACAGAAGAGCGCACCTCTCTACTGTGAAGTCAAGATCATCTGCGATGGCAAAGAGGTGACGACGGAGACGACTGCTGATCCAACACCACCACTGTCACCTTCTCCTGTTAACAACAACAGCAGATCCAACAACCCGACACCACCATCATCTACACCAAATCATGATAAAACAGCTGTAAATGGTGACAGAAAAGACAGTGAACCCAGAGAGAGAAAGAAAATCACAAAGTTTCTGAGATGTTTTTCATTATGATTATTTGTCATGTTCCTGTTTCATTTCCCTTCTCAGAGCTAGCACACTGTATGCATCATGATTGGACAGCTTAAGTACGATTATCATTTTTGCCCAATGCATTTGTTACTGGAAGTTCTTAGTTTCTTGTGTACAAAAAGAGATTTTCATGTATATGTGGAAACCTTTCAGCATTTTGTGTTTTTTTTTTTTTGTGATTAAGAGTTCATTTTCCTTTCCACCCCTCTCCTTAACTAGATTAAATGAAGAGTTGTATTTAACTGTAAAAAGTCAGAAAACACATGAAAATTACAAGATAAAACATGTGAGAAACCAGACAGTATCTTCCTCAGAAGAAAGCTTAGTACTTCCAGCTGATCAAAATAGCAAACGCAGGCAACACTTCAATGTGTAGCCAGAAGAATGGTACACTGTTTACTCATGTAGCCAGAAGACAGCCTAGTTAGAAACCTGATTGAGACAAGGAGCATGGGATAGGTACACATCGCTCTGTCAGTACTCAGCAGTCAACCCATTTATAAGCAGATTTTTTTGGCTGCCTTCTGCAAGTTAGGGATGGGATTATGAAAAAACAGTAAGTTGTCTTGACAAATGAATGCTTCTTATGCCACCATGTCTTGTCAAACTTATGCTGCTATAAGTCATAAGCGCCAAGGAACTGCTACTTATTGTTCATAATGTTAGTTTGTTGAGGGCATTACTTCAACCAAACAACCTAGCAAAATTTGTTACTGAGAGTGGTTCAGTACTTCAGTCTAACACATTATAATGCAGAGATAAAATATATAGGCTCATAACAGTAGAACTGTGATCAGTATTGACTGAAAATGAAATGTTGCATGAGAAAGAATTTTTTCTATGAAAGAAACTCAACCAAACCTATAAAGAACTAGACAGTATTGTAAATGAATATTTTCTAAGAAAGAAACTCAACCAAACCTATGAAGAACTAGATAGTATTGTAAATAAGAAGAAATAGGCACCCAAATTCGAGTCAAAGAGAACTCAAACTTAGCTACCTCTTGAGAAGGAATAATAGTTGCTGCCAGAACTTACAATCATAAATACAAGTTGCATATAACTGAAATGAGATATGTATATAATGTTGGCAATCCGGCCACCTGCAGAGGTAAGCAATCAGGTCACTCACACCCACACTCTCACAACTCACGGCTAGAGGTAGAAGATGAACTGACCTTGAGTACAGACACAGCACAAGCACAAGCCTGCAAGTGCAGCAACTGAACTAGTTGCCTCTTTGCATGCCTAGAGTATTTATACAAGGTGAGTACACCTACTACTAGTACAAGAGGACATGGCTGAGATCAGCCCCTCAACAACTATGTAATCGCTGAGGTAAGCCACTACTAGGTTGGCCTATTGCCATACCTCTCTAGTAGATACGAGGACAGCAGGATTGACCTATTGCCAACTCCTTGCTGCAGCAAAACAAAGAGAGGGAGCAGCGGATTATCTTACATATAACACTAGGTAAAGATTTTGACTCAGTGCACTGTAACATGTTGAGGAATACAGATTGAAACATCCACGTGTTCATTTTAAAGAGTAGAAACATGTTGACAAGAACAAAACTCTAACTATCATTCATTTGCAAACACAGATACAAACATCATACTTTATACAATTGCTACAAAGAAAATTCGTCCTATTCCCTAAAAGAAACCAAACTCTAAATAGTTATCACAACCTTTCTGGGCAGCACTCTCAGATGTTGACACAGGCTGCTTCGGGGGCTTCTCAAGGTCAAAATGCCTTGGAACATCTGGAGGACTCGCACAGCGTATCAATGCCCAGTTCACACCCTCAAAAAATGGGTGCTGTTTTATCTCTGTGGCACCACGCTTAAAACCCAATCGTTGTTGGGGCTCTTTGACCAGGAGACTCCTTATTAAATCCCTAGCCGGGAAGCTCACAACTGGATATTCAGGGAAACGCAAGGGCTGACCAATGACATTGAACAGTGTTGCCCGGTTCCCCGTGCCTTTGAATGGTGTTTTTCCAAACAGGAGCTCATATAGGAATATACCAAAGGTCCACCAGTCAACAGCACTACCATGACCCTCACCTTTGATAATCTCGGGTGCCAAGTACTCATGTGTACCAACAAATGACATCGACCGTGCATCACTAGGTTCTGCTATAAGCTCAGGCAATGGGCTGACCTGGTTGACAACTTCAAGCTTTGGTTTTCGAACTTTCTTTGATTTAGAAAACAATCGTGGACCAAAGCATGTCGTGGGAGCTGTGCATGATGGCTGCACCACGCAGGATGGCTGAACACAAGCTTGTTGAGCACTATGAGCTTGGTTATACTTCTTAAGTGATTCTGGATAAGGGTTAGACAACCTGATCAGCATTGGGCTAACTGCACAACGAAGGGAGAGGTCGAAATTCGTTAACATGATGTGTCCATCCTCACGGATAAGGACATTTTCTGGTTTGAGATCCCGATATATGATACCGAGCATGTGCAGGTACTCCAATGCTAGGAGAATTTCAGCTACATAGAATCTGCGATTCAGAAGCAAATTTAGTATAAGTAAAGCCAAAGTTTAAGAAGGCGCTAGACGCTTTCTAGACGCATATATATATAGCTGAATACAGTATATAAAAGAGAGGGCAGTAGACATACCTTAGTAGCTTACTGGCTTAGGCTCAATAATTAATAGGCAGCTTATTCCTAGTTCCTACAGTAAGGATTGACAGCATGTAAATACTCAATAGGCAGCAAGCAGCTCATCAAAAAAATAGAAAATAGCAAGTTGACACTTATCTGAATGATTTCAGCCATCTCCCATCCATGAACAGACCATATCAGCAGCTAGTAATTACAACCCGAGAAACATTCACTTCCTCTCTAAGTTCTAGCTCACGAACAGTCTTCTCCTCCCTCTTCCTTTTTGCATCATTTAGTGCTTTCGTGCACTTCTCTTTAGCCTCCAGAGCCTCCGGTGTTCTGGCCTTGCATTTCATCGCATTCTTTCCTTCATGGGCCACATGCTACTTCAACCGATAAATCCCTCCTTGCGTCACCTTGTCACAGAGTTTGCACTTCACCTTGTCCTTGTTGTTATCATCAACAAGAACCCCATATTCCCATCCCACATCATCCAAATTCCTTCTCAGGAGATTCGCTCCCTCAGTTTCAGTTTCAGGTAAAGCCATTTAGGTTTTACAGTTCAGTGAGCAAACATTCAGATTTCAGTGACCTATACATCAGACATTCAGTCAATCGAAATCGATAATACATTCAGTCAATCAATAATACATTCACGCAATCACAACATATATTCAGGCACTCACAAAAGACAGATTCAGTATCCATCCATTCATTCATTATTCACAGAAGAGAATATATTCAGTATCCATCCATTCATTCAATATTCACTTGAATCACTTCAGTCATTTAGTATGCAGGGGAGGGGAGCTTCGAGCAGGGGAGAGGGGTAGGGGGACTAACCTTGGGGGCTGGGGCGGGAGGGGTGCACCGGCAGGGATGAGCTTCCAGGCAGGGATGAGCACGACCGGCGGGGACGAGCACGACCGGCGGGGACGAGCACGACCGGCGCCGGCGGGGAGGAGGTCGTCCGGCGAGAGGGGATTGCCCGGCGGGAGGAGCAGCGTCCGGCGGGGAGGGGAACGCTCGGCGGGGATGAACAAATGGTAGGCGAGAAGTGTGTCCTCTCCCTCTTATCCTTCCCGCCGGTTTTCGTGCGGCCGAAGCCAGCTGCGCGCGAGCGCTAGGCCGCGGTGTCCACCTCTGCACAGGAAGTCTTCACGCGCTCGCCCGCTACGGCAATTTTTCGCTCGCTCGCCCTCTGCGTCCGTGTCGGGGACCAATACTAGGGTACCCGAAGATGAGCTAATGGTTATCAACATTGATTCATCCAAGCAGTCAAGAGCACGACTACAGCTCCAACTGACCCCCAGGTGCGCGGACTCCGCCTCGCCCGACCTCTGGGGGCGGGCTCTGCCTCGCCCGACCTCTAGGTCGGGGACCCCACCTTACCCGACCTCTGGGTCGAGGGTTCCATCTCGTCTAACCCCAAGGCCGCGGGCTCTGCCTCGCCCGGCCCTTGGGTTTGTGCTCCATCTCGACCGACCCCAGGTGCGCGGGCTCCGCCTCACCCGACCCTAAGGCTGCGGGCTCCATCTCGCCCGAACTCCGGGGGTGGGCTCCGTCTCGCCCGACCCCGAGGCCACGGGCTCCGCCTCGCCCGACCCTTGGGTTTGTGCTCCGTCTCGCCCGACGGAGACCCATACCGCCGCCAACCACTCTAGGTCCAAGCGTATGGGCTTGGGTCAAAACTCTGACACCAAGGAAGAGACTGGCATGACTCGATGTAACCCGTGGCCATGACGGGCCATACCTGAGGATTCACATCAAGAACAGCGTCGGGCGTGCGGTCTTTATTGTTTCGCTTAACCTCGCATCTGACGATGACAAAGGCTCGATTCACCACGACGTCATTGGGACGAAATGGAGCGCCATGACAGGCAGACGACGCCTGCGCATGGCGTCAGTGACAAACAGGGCCGCAACGTGGAGCCATCCCTATTGACATCTACAGGGTTGGCGGGACCCACATGAAGCAGAAGAACTCAATGATCCTGAAAGCCTTCCTCTCTCTCATTCTTTTCCTTTCCCTCCGTTGTAACATGTGCTTTCCCTTGGCCTAGAAAAGGGAAAGCAGGGCGCCCCATGAAGGGGACCAATCGATCCAGATCCGCACAAGATCAGAACATGAGATAAACATACAAGAACACGACACGAACACACGGCTGAGCAGCGATCGAGCTCTCAGCACCCGTTAACTCCTTCCACCAGAGACTTGGGATCCTTTCCCTCTCTCGCCGGTTTGTACCCCCTACTACAAACTTTCAGTGCTAGTAACATGAGCAGCAGCGGCGAACTGGACGTAGAGACTTTTCTGCCCGAACCAGTATAAACCCCGTGTCCTCTAAACACACCATCCGGG